AAACACAACGACCCAAAACTTATGGGATGCAGCAAAAGCAGTTCTAAGAGGGAAGTTTACAAAAATACAATCCTACCTCAAGAAACAAGAAAAATCTCAAATAAACAACCTAAACTTACACCTAAAGCAATTAGAAAAAGAAGAACAAAAAAACCCCAAAGTTAGCAGAAGGAAAGAAATTATAAAGATCAGATCAGAAATAAATGAAAAACAAATGAAAGAAACAATAGCAAAGATCAATAAAACTAAAAGCTGGTTCCTTGAGAAGATAAACAAAATTGATAAACCATTAGCCAGACTCATCAAGAAAAAGAGGGAGAGGACTCAAATCAATAGAATTACAAATGAAAAAGGAGAAGTAACAACTGACACTGCAGAAATACAAAGATCATGAGTGATTACTACAAGCAACTCTATGCCAATAAAATGGACAACCTGGAAGAAATGGACAAATTTTAGAAATGCACAACCTGCCAAGACTGAATCAGGAAGAAATAAAAAATATGAACAGATGAATCACAAGCACTGAAATTGAAACTGTGATTAAAAATCTTCCAACAAACAAAAGCCCAGGACCAGATGGCTTCACAGGCGAATTCTATCAAACATTTAGGGAAGAGCTGACACCTATCCTTCTCAAACTCTTCCAAAATATAGCAGAGGGAGGAACACTCCCAAACTCATTCTATGAGGCCACCATCACCCTGATACCAAAACCAGAAAAGGATGTCAGAAAGAAAGAAAACTACAGGCCAATATCACTGATGAACATAGATGCAAAAATCCTCAACAGAATACTAGCAAACAGAATCCAACAGCACATTAAAAGGATCATACACCATGATCAAGTGGGGTTTATTCCAGGAATGCAAGGATTCTTCAATATACGCAAATCAATCAATGTGATACACCATATTAACAAACTGAAAGAGAAAAACCATATGGTCATCTCAATATATGCAGAGAAAGCTTTTGACAAAATTCAACACCCATTTATAATAAAAACCCTCCAGAAAGTAGGCATAGAGGGTACTTTCCTCAACATAATAAAGGCCATATATGACAAACCCACAGCCAACATCGTCCTCAATGGTGAAAAACTGAAAGTATTTCCACTAAGATCAGGAACAAGACAAGGTTGCCCACTCTCACCACTCTTATTCAACATAGTTTTGGAAGTTTTAGCCACAGCAATCAGAGAAGAAAAGGAAATAAAAGGAATCCGAATAGGAAAAGAAGAAGTAAAGCTGTCACTGTTTGCAGATGACATGATACTATACATAGAGAAGCCTAAAGATGCTACCAGAAAACTACTAGAGCTAATCAGTGAATTTGGTAAAGTAGCAGGATACAAAATTAATGCACAGAAATCTCTGGCATTCCTATACACTAATGATGAAAAATCTGAAAGTGAAATCAAGAAAACACTCCCATTTACCATTGCAACAAAAAGAATAAAATATCTAGGAATAAACCTACCTAAGGAGACAAAAGACCTGTATGCACAAAATTATAAGACACTGATGAAAGAAATTAAAGATGATACAAATAGATGGAGAGATATACCATGTTCTTGGATTGGAAGAATCAACATTGTGAAAATGACTCTACTACCCACAGCAATCTACAGATTCAATGCAATCCCTATCAAACTACCACTGGCATTTTTCACACAACTAGAACAAAAAATTTCACAATTTGTATGGAAACACAAAAGACCCCGAATAGCCAATGCAATCTTGAGAACGAAAAATGGAGCGGGAGGAATCAGACTCCCTGACTTCAGACAATACTACAAAGCTACAGTAATCAAGACAGTATGGTACTGGCACAAAAACAGAAAGATAGATCAATGGAACAGGATAGAAAGCCCAGAGATAAACCCATGCACATATGGTCACCTTATCTTTGATAAAGGGAGCAGGAATGTACAGTGGAGAAAGGACAATCTGTTCAATAAGTGGTGCTGGGAAAACTGGACAGGTACATGTAAAAGTATGACATTAGAACATTCCCTAACACCATACACAAAAATAAGCTCAAAATGGATTAAAGACCTAAATGTAAGGCCAGACACTATCAAACTCTTAGAGGAAAGCATAGGCAGAACACTCTATGACTTAAATCACAGCAAGATCCTTTGTGACCCACATCCTAGAGAAATGGAAATAAAAACAAAAATAAACAAATGGGACCTAATGAAAGTTAAAACTTTTGCACAGCAAAGGAAACCATAAACAAGACCAAAAGACAACCTTCAGAATGGGAGAAAATATTTGCAAATGAAGCAACTGACAAAGGATCCATCTCCAAAATTTACAAGCAGCTCATGCAGCTCAATAACAAAAAAACAACCCAATCCAAAAATGGGCAGAAGAGCTAAATAGACATTTCTCCAAAGAAGATATACATATTGCCAACAAACACATGAAAGAATGCTCAACGTCATTAATTATTAGAGAAATGCAAATCAAAGCTACAATGAGATATCATCTCACACCGGTCAGAATGGCCATCATCAAAAAATCTAGAAACAATAAATGCTGGAGAGAGTGTGGAGAAAAGGGAACACTCTTGCACTGCTGGTGGGAATGGGAATTGGTACAGCCACTATGGAGAACAGTATGGAGGTTCCTTAAAAAACTACAAATAGAACTACCATATGACCCAGCAATCCCACTACTGGGCATAAACCCTGAGAAAACCATAATTCAAAAACAGTCATGTACCAAAATGTTCATTGCAGCTCTATTTACAATAGCCAGGAGATGGAAACAACCTAAGTGCCCATCATCAGATGAATGGATAAAGAAGATGTGGCACATATATACAATGGAATATTACTCAGCCATAAAAAGAAACAAAATTGAGTTATTTGTAGTGAGGTGGATGGACCTAGAGTCTTTCATACAGAGTGAAGTAAGTCAGAAAGGGAAAGACAAATACCGTATGCTAACACATATATATGGAATCTAAGAAAAAAAAATGTCGTGAAGAACCTAGTGGTAAGACAGGAATAAAGACAGAGACCTACTAGACAATGGACTTGAGGATATGGGGAGGGGGAAGGGTAAGCTGTGACAAAGTGAGAGAGTGTCATGGACATATATACACTACCAAACATAAAATAGATAGCTAGTGGGAAGAAGCCGCATAGCACAGGGAGATCAGCTCGGTGCTTTGTGACCACCTAGAGGGGTGGGATAGGGAGGGTGGGAGGGAGGGAGACACAAGAGGGAAGAGATATGGGAACATATGTATATGTATAACTGATTCACTTTGTTATAAAGCAGAAACTAACACACCATTGTAAAGCAATTATACTCCAATAAAGATGTAAAAAAATGTAACAAATTAAAAAAAAAACTATATTAAATCCAAACACCTTGGACTCTTTCGACTTTCTCAACTTTATCATTGAGGAGACTTAGGTTACATGGATACTCTACATACTATCCTGACCCTTACTGTGGCCAAAAATAAGCTCAAAATGGATTAAAGACCTAAATGTAAGGCCAGATTTCCTTACTGGCCCCCTTATTGCGGCCAGTAAGGAAATCATCTTTCATCATGGTGCTTACTCAAACTTTCTGAAATGCATAAAATCATCAACGGTCTAGTTAAAAAGCAGATTCCGACTCAGTAGGTCAGGATTGGGCTGAAATCTGTATTTCTGTTCAACCCAAGTGATGCTAAACCTTCCAATCTGTGGAGCAGCCCTGGAGTAGCAAGCATTCTGATACATTTACACACTCACTTGCAGAGGAACATATTTGTTCCCTGTTCACCTACTTCCCTCTCCCTTTTACTAGTTACAGCTTCCTCTACCTTCATGATCCCTTCCAACATGCCTGCAAACATTTTCTTTAGAACTCCTCCTTCCCAATTTCAACCAATTCTTGTCCAGTTAGTTCAGGAAAATCTTATTCTCTCTGCATCTATGTCAAATTAGAATTGACTAAAAAATGAAGACAGTTTCTGCTTTTCAAGCAGCTTGCAAGCTTGAGACAACAGGTACATAATTAACTGTCATGGATCCCTTCTCTCCTTTTCCAGTAAGCAAAGTGCCTGGGCTTTGAAGTTTGATTTTTGGGTTCCAATCCAGCTCTAACACTTACCTTCTCTGAGACTTCAGGCAAGCAACTTAATTTCTCTGAGCCTCAGTTTCCTAACTCTAAAACGGTGTTAACAACAGCACCTAACTCAGAGGATTGTCGTAGGTATTAAAAAGAGATGATGCACATAAAGACGTTTGCATCTCTCAGTCTAGCACTTAGTAAGTAATTAACAGACCATGCCTAGTAACATTGGTAGTAACAAAGACGTCATGATGCCATCCCTCTATGGTAGACGGCACTCTTCAGTTATTTCTATTAGTGCATATGGCTCTGTTCGCCTTTAAACAGGGAGTTCCCCCACTTGCTTTACAGGGATGCTTCCCCTCCTGCCAGTATTGTCAGTATATGACAATCACCTTCGCAGCTTCTGCCAAATTCTCCTATAGACTACATTGCCTACTCTTCTTTATATCAACTTATTCTTTTACCTAAATTATTTCTCAAGGGAAATTTCGTATCACTACCGTAAGCGAAAAATCAGTATCACTTGCCACAGTTAGGTGACTCATAAAAACAAATACCATGAAACCAGAGTTTTTAAATTCCAACTAGATACTGCTGCCCACTAAAGGCAAGATTGCTAAGGAGATAAGCAAGACTTTCACCTTGATAGTTACGAGCATGGGAAGAGAACACCTTGAAATGAAATGAAACACCTTAAATGAAAACACCTTCCCCATGAGTGTGATTAAATCAGTTAATATATGGTAATATGTTTACAACGGGGTCCACGCGTGTACTCATCACTCTCAGCCCTGTTGGAAGAGACAGATAACGAGTTCCCGCCCACGTCTGGTGCTCGGGAAAAGTCTGTGGGGAGGTCCGGGGCGCCTGGAGTAGAGATCTTCACCCTTCCCACTGGGCCTGAGGAAGGCCACGTACCGAACTCGGGAGGTGTCTTCCCCGGGCGCCGGCGGCTCCACGCACGCCCGCCTCAAAGCGGTGATCTCGGCTTCCAAAGCGCGAGCCTCAACCAGCTGGGAATCCATAGGGCCGCGCTGACGGGAAGCTGCCTAACAGAAGCGCGCCACGTCCTGCTCTTCAAGCCTCGCGCGCTGCTGGCGTGAACCATCCCGGAACTCGGCGGGGGAGGCAGGGGAATGACGCGCGATTGTCGAGCTTATAACCCGCGCTCGCAAGCATCCCAGGCTCATTGCCATCCCTGCTTACTTTTCCACAGCCGTCCCCCAGCAGTCCCTACGCTTCAAGAGAGTTGACTCCCTCGAACCCAAAGCCCGAGGGCATACCTACCCACCCCGACCTGGTGCCGCCTTGGAGCAACCAGGACGAATGTATCACATTAGAGGAGGTTCCGGGAGCACTTAAGGGGGGAGTCTCTTTATTTTTCTTCCCCTCCCTCACTTCCGCCGACCATATCCAGGAGAACACAAGGTGATAACCCTCTTAAGTATGAAGTAGGGAATTTTAGTTTGGGGTCTTTCGCGAACTTTGAGGCAGGGAAAGGAGGCATTCCGGTCGCCCAGAAGCCTGGAAACGAAATAAAAAGCACTGGGGAACTGAGCGTGGTAGTGGAACCTTAGGATGCTGGGTTGGAAATCCAGTAGGAAGGAAGAGAGGCGACACTTGTTGGGACACGTGACCAGAAGTTACGGCCCTAAACTGCGCGGGATGTAAAAAACGGAGTGGTGAGGAGTCGGTTTGGGGCATGGGATGTGCCGAGGTCAACTGGCCTCCCTTCTCCCTTCTCGTCTTTGAGTCTTCTCAGAGGAAGACGGCTAGGGTGGGTAGGTTGGGGGCGGAGGAAGCTACCAGGAAGATGTAGGCCGTGGCTCACGCCTAGATCAGGAGCGATGCTCAGGGCTTTTGGCGCTGTTTTGGGGTCGCGCGTGGGAGGAGTCTGGGAGCTGAGCGCCAGCCGGGTGCTAAACGAGATTAGAGATCTCATGAAAAGCCGCAAATCTCAGTACCTCTGGAAGAGTTTTCCTGAGTCCCTTCTAATCCAACAATCTCCCTAGTATAAAGAATTACAGTTTCTGAAATTAGATTTGGGTTATAATCTTGGCTTCACCGCTAATTCTCTGAATGGCTTTGGGAAAGTGACTTAACCTCTCCTGCTAATCTGAAAAAAGATGCCTGCAAACTATTTTGTACAACGCTGGCACATAGTGTTTTTTAAAAAGTCTGTATTAGCCATGATATCAGTTGCTCTTTTTATGCCTGAACAGCACTTTGTAGATATTTCTGTTGTGACATAGTATTGTAATTGCAGCATTTGCTTACTTCTCATGTGACTGTGAGGAGCTTGAGGATTGAGAGCCTTTTATCTTTCCGTGTGCTAACCTGTCCCATCCCATTTCTGTCAGCATTTGTTAAAGTGAATGAATGAAGGGAAAACACCTAACAATATGGATAAGTAAAATCGGGAGGAGTAGAGTGTAATATTGTGGTCATTTAGAGGGAAAGTATGTGCCTGTACCTGTGTCTGTGTGTAGAGGTGCTGTTCCAAAATGCATTCACGAAGAAGTTTTGTTTTGTTTTGTTTAGATTTGAGAAGATTTAAGGGAAAGAGCTCTTCTCTGTAGATAATTATTTTTTCCACTAGAATTACTTGAGTGTATGCCCAGCCTTGATGAAAGCCAACAGAGAAACGAAGCGCCTTTTTGTGGGTGGCCTTGGCCAGAATATTTCTGAGGCAGACCTACAAAATCAGTTCAGCAGATTTGGAGAAGTTTCTGATGTGGAAATCATCACTCGGAAAGATGACCAAGGTAAATTTATAGTTCTTCATGGGTAGTTAAAGGCAAATATAACTGAAGTCAAGTATCACAAAATAAAGGAACCCAAGAGATGAATGTTAGCCCTGAACACTGAAAGTGATATGCATCTCATTACATGATACTGTTGTAGTAACCCCCCACCTCCCATCCCTCCCCCTCCTATGCTCTGTAGGTGTTATGTGTGACCTGGAACTTGCCCAGAATTACGTTTCTGAAATCAAAAATTTCTAAATTCCCAAACATCTGGTTTTTGTTTTTGTGGGGTTTTTTTTTTTGGCCGTACGGCTTGCTGGGATCTTAGTTCTCCAACCAGAGATTGAACCCAGACCCTCAGCAGTGAAAGCACAGAGTCCTAACCACTGGACTGCCAGGGAATTTCCAAACATCCAATTTCTGAAACATATAGCTTTCAGTTTTCAGAGCTAAAATTCTAATAATTAGTAGGGTCCTGTTAAGTAGAATATCACTAACATACAAACATGCAAAGTGTTTCCTTAACTGAGTACTTGACATTTTTCTCTTACGTATTTTCTTTTGGAATATTTAGATAATCATGCTTTAAAAAAAAAATGCAATCTTTGTATCCAATGATAAATAAACAAGGTTTTCCTTTGAAAGAGTACATTTCTAAGAGCTCTTTTTTAAATTTAGAAACTTAATGTTTACATTGTTCTCTGCATACGAATTTAATTTTTTTTTTTTTTTTTTAGGAAACCCACAGAAAGTCTTTGCATATGTCAACATCAGAGTAGCAGAAGCAGACCTGAAAAAATGTAATGAATGTTTTCTATACTATTTACCAGTCCATGTCACCATGTAATTTGGAATAACTTTCGTTCTAAATCTAAACATCCACCTTTAACTCATCCTGAGGGACAACCACGATCAAGAGAATTTCCATATCTTACAATTCAGGAGGTCTAGGTTCATTCCATAATGAATGACATATGGTAGCACATTGCCTGTGAGTTTGCTCAAAAATGGCATTCTCAAATAATTTGGTTAAGGAACCACACTTTAATAGAAACTGCCTGTTACACATATCCCACTGGATATTATGAAATACCCACCTCCCCAGTGTGTTCATTTCTCAGGCAACTAATTCTTCTTATTGAGTGCTGTTAGGAGAGAGGTTTAGAATATGCCCTTATAAGATCATATCCTTGAAATTATGAAGTCTCCATCGATAAGTTTAGTAAAGCTGAGGGCCACCTGTGACCTTCAATGAATAAAGAGGGGGAGATAATTCATACTTCCACTGATGTAGTAATGCATTCTAATTATTTGGAGACTGAAAAGTCAAAAGACACTGAGCAGGAAACATGCTAATAGAGAAAGAGGGCCATTGACCTTTTTGTAATTTCATTTGCAAAAAATTGATTCGTTCAGTTAGGAAATAGATATAACAAATATGTTGCAGTTAAGAACACATCAGCTCTGCTGTGTGACCTAGCAGTTTATTTAAACTAGAAGACCCGGTTTGCTTATCTGATGTATAACCAAGATACTGCTTATCTCATAATACTACTGTGAAGATTAAGTTGAATAATATCTTTGTGCTTAGCATAGTACCTACCTCATTGATATTTCTGTTAGTGGTAATTATTAAGGAAGCTAATAGCAGATGTTGAGAAAAATCAACTACTAGGGCACAGTAGTTTAAACACAGTTTAGTTGCTTGCAGCTAATATGTTTGCAAGTTTCACAGTGATAATTAGTATGAGGTGATAAATAAAAGTGAGGTGCTGCAGGATTCCAGTGTGCTCTGATTCACTCTAAGAAAATTACATTAATGTTTTATAGTTTTAGTGTGGGAAATAACAATGAAATGTTAAATAAATACCAGCCATTCGCCACAGATTCCTGACATTACTTTATAAACAAATGACAAATTTTGCTTTATGGTTTACACGTTTGCCTCATTCAAATCTTTCAATTACACGGGGAGGTAGGGAGTGTAAAGATCTAATAAGTGGTCAAGATGAGAATGGGACCTAAGCCTTCTCCTTCCAGGTCTCATTTTCTTTATTCTATTTCCTCTGTGTCTTTGTGATAAGCAGGTTTTCTTTTTTTGGTACTAACTAATTAGTAAAAGCACATGCTGAAATATATTTTTGCATTGCCATGTACTTGGGTACTAATTCTTTGCTTTATAGGTATGTCTGTTTTAAATAAAACAAAATGGAAAGGTGGAACTCTACAAATTCAGCTAGCAAAGGAAAGTTTTTTGCACAGGTAAGATTTGCTCTCCGTGATTTGACCCAATGTTTTTTATATTGTAAGTGGTTTTATATGTTCACTTAATTGATTTGAAACTATCAAATAATGTATTATTACAGTTTTAGCAAATATATGCATTACAAGTAGAGCTAAAATCCTTCTTAACTGTGACTCCCTGTGACCCCCAGACCCCACCAAAGAAGATAATGTAATGCTCCTATATACGTATATTTTAACCCATAAAAATATATACTTATTTCAGCTTTTTAAACACAACCTTATGTGATGATGTAGGTCTTCCCCCTTCTTATAATGAGTGTTTAGTACTATTTTAGAAAATGGCTGTGCCACAGTGTAGTCAGTCATCCCCCACTCATAGACATTTAGACCATTTCCACTTCCTCTTGATAAGACTCTTGAGGATGGTCCCTCTGGGGTTTATGTCAACAAAAGGAGTTGCTATGTCATATAGTTACGCACATTTAAAATTTTAATAGACAGTACCAAATTGCTTAAGTTGACTTTAGGCTGTTAATGAAAGTGTCATACAAAAACATAAAGATAATAGGAAATCCCTGTATGAGAGGCATAAGATTAATTATGCATGTGATTTAAGAACAAGGCAATGTAAAAACTTTTAAAGCATTTTAAATCCTAAAAGTATTCTTAGGGAGAAAAGATTGTATGAGATTGGGTGCTTCCAAAATAGGAGATATTTTAGGAATGTACACATGGAGTGACCCAGAGCGTTTTAAGATTGTTCTGGGCCAAAGAAATGCCACAAGGAAAAATAAGGTCTAAACCAAGTTTTGAGGGAGTGGTCTGGTGACGAAGATGAGAATTTGATTTTGTTCTTCAGCTGGGGGTCTATGTGAACAGGGTAGTGATGAGATTTTCATTCAGCAGCACTTTGCTGCCTATTATATGCAGGAACCGGGGCCCTAGTCCTGAGCAGGTGAGCACACAGTGCTGCTGCCTTGGAGTGTCTATGCAGTTGTGCCTGGGGAGCATGAATCTTGGAAGTTGGAATGTAAGGGACACAGACCAGAGGCAAAGAGGCCAATGAGAATTGGTCAGCACAGTTGACCAGGCCTGTATAAGGTGGCGGAGTTTGAACTGGTAGGTTGAGTTGGCGTTCTGCATTCTCTTTGTTGTGAGAGTAGAAATATTCAAGACTTAGCATATTAGTCTCTGAAAGACACCTCTTCCTCATAAGAGTGAAAAGATTAAGGATAGATAAAATACCAAAAGTACATAAGTTGAAAGGGAAAAACTGAGAGACCCTAAATGATCTCTATAAAGTTAAACAGCTTTAC